TAAGAGACAGCCCTCTGGGCTGGCTGCTGCTCCTCTGGGTTTGAAACAAGAAATATGTCCCCCACAGTGCCGCCAGTGAGGTGTGAGCTTCCCCAGCGATGGCTTTGGTGGGAGCCGTGCTCTCAAGGCATCGCTGCTGAGCGTGCACAGCAAGGGAACATCCCTGCCAGAGCCCGGCTGGAGCAGAGGGGTGAACGGATGCTGGAGGACTTCGTGGCTTATCAGGCATCACTCCCCCTCCACCCCAGAGCACCCCTCTCTTCTCCCTTCCCTACCAAATCCCCTTCCTCCCCCAGCGCCCCCCTGCCAGCAGACCCCAGGGAACCCCCCAGAGGCACAAACCAGGTGGGAAACACCCACGAGACCCCAATCCCCCTCATCCGCAGACCACCCCCGGCGAAAGACAGTGGAGGTGCCGCCAGGAGTGCCAGCCCGGGGATCCTTTCCTCCTCCCCGCCCCATGCGTGGCCCTCGCTTTATTTACCGCATACTGTTTCCCACCCTGCTGGGAAGACAGAATTATTCATTTCCTCGCCAGCTTTTCTGCGGTGCACATCGCTACAGCGCTGAGTGCTTTGCAAACAATAATTAATTAACCTCTGCAGCCCGCCTTGTGCGCACGAGGGAATTTGTTCATCCCCCTTTATTCCGAGGGGAGAGATGTAAAAGTGGGACTCACTCCAAGGTGGGAGCCCCACTTTCCTCCGCGAGCCTCTGAAATGCCCGCAGGCCAGGGCAAAGTTCTAGCACCTTTAATCTGGGGTTTCATGGTTCAAAGCGGTGCTGGAGCACTCGCTGCAGACAGGTCTGACCCCTGGGAGGGGAAGCACAGACTCAGGTTGATCTCTCAGTCGTGTTTCTGCCAACAGTCTCTGTTGATTCAGCCCGTCGCTCAGCTGGGCACATGGGCTACGAGAGCTTGGGGTGATGGAGATGCAGGCGGGAGCCTCAGCGAGCACTTGGGTGCGAGAGGGTCAAGGTAAAGGAAAACCGAGAGACTGTGGCAGCTCATTGGGCTCAACCCAGGCAGGGTGATGCCCTGAGGGCACCAGCCCTCACCCACCCATGGAGGAAGGAGCCAGCACTCGACCGACAGCACCATGCAAGGCTTCATGTTCCCTTGGGGAGCGCTCTGGAAACCCTGAGGGGGTTTCTCAAGGACAAATCTTGACCCGATTATACTTCTCGCTTCGAGACAAGGCAAAAGCTTTTGCCCACACTTGAAGCTGCCGCTACAAGTTTCCCAGCCGACAGCTCAGCCCGACCCTCCAGGATCCTAGAAATGCTGGTGGCCGTTTGCCAGAGGAAGGATTGGGTTTGTGCAGCGTGCCCGGGCTCTCGGTCAGACTTCAGCTCTGCTTTTTAGGCTGCCAGGTCCCAAAGGGCCTCCTGGGTTGCAGGGAGATCCTTCACTCACAGCCAGAAGGAGTAAAAACCCAGCTGAGTCTTTTGGGGTGTGCAGGGAGGCAGGAGCAGCCTCTGCTAGGGTGGACTGAGGAGCGGGAGGCTTGCAGGGGGGACATCCAAAGCCAGCAGCGTCCCCGTGCCGCAGCGCCTGTGCTCCCAGGGCCGTCAGCCACGCGGGAAGGGGTTGCTCACACACTGACACACTCGGCAAAGCCCAGGGCCAGGTGAGGATGGAGCACAAGGAGGATTGTTGCAGGTGGAGGCGGGCATGTGGGAGGAACAGGACACTCAGCCGGGCTGTCTGTGGCACCAGACAGGGATCCAGGAGGGATCCTCCAGCAGCACACAAAGAGGGTGACAGGAGTCATTGGCATGGACACGGTGTCATGTCACACCTCCACGCCCTGCCAGGAAGGTCACAAGCCTTCGCTGCTGGTGCTGGGCTTTGTATGGTGTGAGGATCCTTCTCTGATTCTAAATACCTTATCAGAGCTGGAGAGATGCTACCAAGGGATATAAGTAGGTCTTGGAAAAACAATCTCTCACCACCCGCTTTCCTTCTGGAACAACAGCAGCCATTACCCCAAAAGTCAGCAGGAGATGTTTAGGGGGTACAGAGAAGGCAGCAGACGATGTTTCCAGCAGTGTGTGGAGGGTGGGGCAGAGGGAGGGCACCATGGATTGTTAACTTGGCCTCGCTGCTCAGGAGATGACAAGCTGAAGACTGTAATAGCTGTTCAAGGCAGGACTTGGTGACAAAAGCCCAAGTGTGGATAACAAATGCTGGAGAGGAGGAGAAAAAGAGAGGGAACGGGGGGGAAAAAATCCTCAACAACGAAAATAATCCCAAAATGTGTTGTGCACAACACCCAGCGGAGATTTCTAAAAACAGTTTGTGCAAAGTTATTTTAATCTCACTTTTGACAAGTGAGCGGGTGTGACTGAGAAGGGAGAGCACAGGGATTACACCCAGGACCGGGGCTTCGGCGCAGCACCAGAGGGACACTATCCCGAGGTGTGGACAGAGCCCCCGTGGAGACGCCGCGGGCTTCAGCAGAGCTCTGCTTCAAAATGACGCCGCTGGGTTTGTGCCATGGCCGAGTGTCACACACACCACAAGCGTGCCAAAGGACGAGATGGGAAACACATTGGTGTTCAGCCCAGGCTCGGGCAGGAAGAACCTCACAGAGCAGGAGGGGAAAGGCAGAGTGGGAAGAGGGGAGCACCGGGGCTGCTGGAGAGCGGGCAGACGTGTGGTGAGAAGGAGGAATTGATGGGAACATCAGGCAGGATGGGAAAGCAGTGCTGGGATGTGTTAAAGAGGCATCTTAGGATAAGAGAAGGGAGGCCGGTGAGCAGCCATCTCAGAAGGGAGCTGAGCAAGATAAGGGGAAGCCAAGGAGGTGAAAGGTGGCTGTAAGAGCAGCCCGGAGAGCACAGGGATCTTGATGAGCCCTGATGTGTCCTGCAAGAGCACACGGGACTCAGCAGCCTCTCTGCACAGAACCGGGACTTGTTCAGATGGACAAGTCCAAGCAGGAGAGATTTCACCTTGGCACATGGATCAAGCTCTGCCTGCATGGATTGCCTCAACTCCCAGACCACAAAAACACAAGCACAAATTTTTTTCTCCAGACAGAGCCACTGAAGTGCCCCAAGCAGTAACCAAGGCAGCCACGATCCCCTTGGACGATTCCGGCACTGGCACTGGGTGAGTTTGGTTTCGGCTGCATCCCCACCCTGTCAGGGCACGCCATATCCCGGGCGCCAGGGCGGGAAGCCAGGTAGAACCTTGTGGCACCTTGTAGGATGACGATACTCCTGACTGGCACATTCAGAGTTTGCATGGAACTGCGCAGCATGTGGACACACAGACTCAGGAAAGAAAGGGCCCATACTCCCTGTTACCTCTCCAACCAAACCCAAACAGTTCTTGTCCAGTCCCCTCCCAGGCGCTGAACGAAGCGATTCATTAACACATGGCTGGGTGTCTCCTGATGAATGAATTGGGAGGAGTCACAAACCACTTTTGGCTACTCTGCGCATGGAAAAAGGAGATGCTCTTGGGCGAGAATTACTCACTCTGCTCCAGTTACCTTACAATTCTTCAAGCGAAATTTCATCCCACCATCAATATGTTGGCAGCCAGCTGGAGATCCTCACAACCCTGCGCTCATGCTAATTCAAGGCAAGACCCAGCTCTAGGGCTGGAGGCAATGGGACCTCTCCCTGCGCTGCCCGCAGCCAATCCAGAAGGCCCCAAATCTCGCTGCCCCCGTGCCGTTCCCATCCTCCTCCAGCATCAGGCATTTAACCAACATTGCCTCCCTTGCTGATCCTGGGAACACCCACCGGGGAAGCCCATCCACACCATGGAGCAGCCACACCACTGGGCACCTCCTCTTGGATGGGTTTACTCATTCCCAGGACTGTTTCTTTTCCCAGATCAACTAATTCTCAAGAAGCAGAAGAACATTTAAAAAATGCAGGTTAATGATGCCACTGCCTCCTTTTTCACATCCTTTCAATGGCCTAATGGAGTCCGAGAAGCTCCCCTCTCTTGCAGAGACCTCACCCTTTTGATACCATCCCGGGGTGCATCCACAGGGATCTGTAGAGGCCAGGCAGTAGCCGTGCAGTCTCCGCACACACCACCTCAGCACCTCAGCCTCTGGCAGCACGTTCCCACTTGGTTTCCCACTGTGGGGGTTTGGCTTTGGGTGCCCGTCTGCTGTCACCTTCATGACACAAGGCAGAAGGTTTGAAGCCCACTCCATCGCTTGCAGGGACGGTGCCGCCTGTAAAGGGTCAGGAACAGCCTCACGTGCCTGCCCCAGGCAGTCAGTATCCCTCCTGGGGCTCCTGACAGCTTTCAGATGCCTGAAACAATTCTGGGAAAGCATCTGGGTGAAAAAGGAGAGGGCAAAGATCACAGAATCACAGAATTATTCAGGTTGGAAAAGCCCCTTGGGAACATCGAGTCCAACCCTCAGCCCGACTCCACAAAGTTCTCCCCTACCCCACATCCCCCACAGCTCATCCCAATGGCCCTGAAACCCCCCCAGGGATGGGGACTCCCCCCTCCCCGGGCAGCCTGTTCCACTCTCGGACCACTCT